AATACTCATAAATTATAACATTTTTGATGCTCTGAGTCTCCCCTCACAGTGCTCCCATGCTAAATCACTCCCCCTTCAGAGCACTATCACAACATAATCGGTGTGCATCTTGCTAACAAATCTACTGCACATCTCGTCAGGTTTGGCAAGTTGCTGTGTACAGTTTTGTATCATGTTTTTGTCTATTTATGTAGAATTGTCGTGTTGGAGCATGGGAGCGTAGGATTGTGGGTGGAGCCTTGTACAGAATCTTACAGCTAACCATAAGGAGGGTTTTTATAGAGCCCGGGAGAGATTTCTAAATTACTCAAACATGCATGAATGATGCATAAACCTCTCACCCCCCCCACCCCTGTAAACAGTCTGAGGCTCATACTCTGTGCTGTATGACAGCTAGTTTTCCATTCACACATCTCAGGGCATTGGTCAGTACTGATTGTGAAAGCCAGGAAGTAGTAATCAGGAAGTAGTCACAGGATCAAGATGATTTCCTTTAAGCCCCTCCCCGTATCCTCATGTCAGATGCACCAAGCCATGTCTATCATTCTTGTGAAGATAATCACACAGTGCACAGGTGTGGGGCTAGGGCAGGTTCCACTACAGCACTGACTCTCAACCTTCTCTTAGTCATGACTCCCATAAGCTGGAGTCTTTGTACCCCCCACAGGCAACTGCATAACACCAGGCAACAGCTTATTTATCTGCTTGGATAAGGGCAGCCATCAATCTCTCATTTCCTCAGAATATCTGACATTTCTTTTCCAAGGTCTTTACCTGATTTTTATTTATTCTTGTCAAGATTCACATCCTGCACTGTTTGGTAAAAGCTACTAAATATTAAACAACATGGAATGATAAAATGTAATTATTCATTTTACAAGGCATTTTCTTGATCCATAATAGATCTAACAACAGAACTACAAAAACCATGAGAAACAACTGCTCAACATGATCCTAAACACTTGATTTTCTATCATGATGCAATATCACAACTACAGAAAGGACTAAGTAGGAGGAGCTAAAAGCTCACACTAAAACATGTTCCTCACTCATGGTCTGAAATCGTGTCACCTCTAAGGCAATCCATCAGAAAAGTGCCTGTATATTGTATGTCTTAGGCGAGGTTCAAGTATTGTGCAAATATCAAACTGCAATTTTTCCAACAAGCACTGCATTTGAGATTACATATGTAATTTATGTTTTAATAATCAGGTTCAGTTCAAAGTTCTTGTTTTAAACACATCCAGAAGAATTAGGAACTGGCAAACTAATACAAGAGTTACATTTCAGAACATGTACACAGATCTAAACTACAAGGTTAGCAGCTTTTATGCACAATAAGACTTGACTAAGACGAGGAATATTTTTGTTGTTTGTATAGGAAATCACTTCAAAATTGCAGTATTTGCAATTTGCTAATTGAATCCATTCAGATTGTGACTTTGTTTTGATTGGGATTCATTTTGCGGCCACACCCCCAGAAGTACACGGTCATCACGTCAGCTCACAGAAACAATACTGAAGTCACTGTTCTGATCCCCTGTGCTCTTATTTCATATACTTGCACAGTAGAATCCAGGTGGTGCCGATTCTGACCACTGGATGACTCCAGTTTGTGACTGTGGACATGTCTTTGCCCCTTGAGCACAGACACCACTGACCTGAGCTGAGCTCCAGCACTCTGTCGCTATAGTAACAGGCGTGTATTCCCTCAGGAGGTGTTTGGTTCGACTGTGCAGGTGCTGCTTCATTTGTCCCCATCACAAAAGACAGATGATAATGAGGTCAGCTGATCTAATATTTAGATCACCAGGTTACCTTTTATTGGTGGGAAAATACAATATTCGCCCAAAATAACATATTAAAAATGCTTTATACATTTCAGTTTCATTTTTGACACTCTGAATCACTCCTTCCTTAGCTCGCTGTGCTAAGTCACTCCCTCTTCAGAGCATTATCCCAACATGATCAGTGTGCATCCCAGTAATGAAACCACTGCACACTGCATTAGGTTAGTCAAGTTGCTGAGTACAGTTTTAGATCATGTTTTTGTATATTAATGGATTTGTTTGGGAGCGTGGGTGACGTAGGTGTGTTTGTGACGAGGGAACAACATTATAACATAGAATAACAGCAGAAAGCACATTATTATTTTTTTATTTTTATTTTTAACCAACTTCTGAACCAAATGAAAACCAAAATGAAAGGCGGTCACCCGATTCAATATCTAACTTTCAACTTTATCTCACCAAACGAAGGATTTGTGGCGCTTGTATTGACTGTATATGTATATGTAAGTGGACATAGTTAGCTTGCTCAGCGCCATGTTCCAAACAGGAAGTACAGTCCAACTGACTTGAGACCTTTTCTCTAACTGCTGCTGTCAGGGTCATCATTCTGACCTTAAAATGTTCATTTGCACCCGCTCTACAGGATCCTTTTTCTAACTATTTTGTTTTGTTATTTTGATCCAAAATCAGTGTGTGTAGAATCCATGTCAAATATTCCACCTAAATAAATGTTTGGCTAATTGACAAATTGAATTTCTCTTTTACCATTTCACAAAATCAGTTTATTAAAGTAAGATTTATTAAAATAAATAATAAAATAATATATACAGAATAATACATATTTTAAAATAAATATTTTAGTCCTGCAAGATATTAACTAATGAGGTCCCTTCTTTCCCCGAGGTGAGCTCCAGCTGCTGTTATCAGCACTCACCTGCCGCCAAACCAGCGGAACTGACCCTCTGACACTGACTGCCCCACTACACTTTTTTAAGTCATTTAAATCTGAAAACCTGTGGTCTTATTCTGTGTAAAAGCTGCTAACCTTATAGTTTAGAGATGTACAAATGCAGAGGAGTCTTTACTCTCACATGGTACATGGCTCTTGGACATGTGTAAAATGTGAACTTTGAACTGAATGCGACTGTAAAAAGATGAACCACAACCTAAACAACTCTTTTGTTTTTGTTTCTAATTGTTTTTGGTTTTTGCCCATTATATCAAATGTTGCAACCAAATCATTTCAATATTACCATCATCATTTGATGATTTAATTCAGTGTCCATGCTACCCGCCACTGGCCCTGTGTGAGATAAAGGAGTACGTGTACAGGCGTCCATGCTGAGTATCTGTGGAATGCTGACCATGAAGGTGGCTACACTGGAGAGACAGCAGCAGACACAGCCCTGCTTCAACAAACATGCAACAAAGTATTTACAGGATACAGGGAGAGTCAGGAGGGTCCACCAGCCCAGTCCTCTCCCTCAGGACGCACAACTAGGCCTGTCACCATAACAAAGTTTGAAGCATGATATATATCGCTGAAATACAGATGACAAACGATAATATTGAAACTATTTATGCCACTGACAAAAACCCCAAGAGCAGAGTTAATGTCATGTACTGAATGATAAGTTGATATTAGGGATAGGATGAGATCTCATGTCATGACATCAAATTGCCAAGTGATTTTATCCTCCGTTGTCACATTTGGCAAGAGCATAAAAGGGTTACGCTTCACTCAGGTTCTGGAAAGCTGCGAATCTTTGAGCAGCTGTAGCTGTAAAGACACATATTCAGACAGACACTTATCCCGGAGACACAGAGACCAGAGGAGCAGCTCCAGTTTAGATATAAGTATTTAAATTTAAAAAATGAAGTGTAATAGACAGATTGTATATTGAGTATAATGTAATAATCAGTAGAGATGCATCAGCAGTGGGGATTTACACTGCAGCACTGGTATTTAAAGCATAAAGGATGTTATTAAATACATGAAAAATAAAAAAATAATTAATTTGGTAATTTTTCTAACTATATCAAGACATAAAATACATTCACAACACAATATATAAAATTTAACTAATTTAACATCATATGACCAAAATTGTGAATGGATCTGATCTGAGCCAGGCTCCATATTAGGAACAGAACTTTTTAGCGGGCAAAATACTGAAATAAAAACCCAAGGATCATGTAGAGTGAGTTAATATGAACATTTTAAAACAAAAATGACAAGGCTTATTTAAACAGTTAAAGAGAGACAGTCCACATTATTCCAAAGTAAGTCAATGGGAGCCAGAGTCAGACGGAGCCGGAAGAGCAACATATGAACTTAATAAGCAAAGGTTATTTATTCTCCCAATCTCACCACTATTGCAAAGAAATGTACATGCCCCCGAATATATTGTTACACCTTTCATATATTGAACCAGAAGTGGATATCGTGACAGGCCTCGTCAGAGTACAGCCCCAACCTCTTCAAGAAGATTATGCAAACGACTTTATGGATCTTTTCTGTTATAATGTTGCTCCCTCACAAACATGCCTGAAGAGGTTTTAGATGTCATCTGTTCATGTTTGAGTAATTTAGCGATCCTTCTCAGGCATTATCAGAACCCCATGTTTAGCTGTAAGATTCTGTGCAATGCTCCGCCCACAATCCTATGTCACCCAATTCTCTATAAATTTACAAAAATATGATACGAAACTATACACTACAACTTGACAAACCTCATGTGATGTGCAGCAGTTTCACTGACTTAGCACAGGGAGCAAAGGGAAGGGAGACTCAGAAACATCAAAAAAGAAACTGCCAATAACAGCATTGACATGATTGATCAATTTCAAATACAGCATTTTTAAACAATCAAAGGTAACATGGTGATCTACATATGTTCTGTGCAGTTAAGACCCCAGAGAAGTGTAATACTTAATACTTTAAAAATGTCTTGTATCTGATCAGAACAGAGGAAGACCCAAGCACAAGTTCAAATAGACAAAAAGTGTTTCTTAGGCTATGTTCACACTGCAGGTCAAATCTGATTTTTTTTTTACCCATATGTGACATGTATGTGATTTGTTCATGTCAGTGTGAAGAGCTCAATTCTGATTTGTGTATGAGTGTGTGTGTGTGTCTGTGTGCGCGCAGGTGTGTGTGCGCGCGTGAGTTAGGAGTAGGTGTGTGTGTGTGTGTGTGTGTGTACTCACTGTCCTCTCCGGGGCAGGGCAGACCAGGTTTCTCTGGAACACTGGGGAACACTGAAACAGAAACACACCACAGTCAGCCCCTTTTGCCCATTTTGCCCCTTTTGCCCCTTTTGCCCCTTTTGGCCCTTTTGGCCCTTTTGGCCCTTTTGCCCCCTGCTACACACAGGCACCAAATAAACACACAGTTGTAAGATATCTCTTCAAAGTGCATCTGGCAGGTTAGGCTCATAGACTGTACAAAAAAGTGGACTAAGTGAGTGTGACCCACAGCGTTCAGTGCCACTTGAATGAAGCGCAATGTTCACAGTTACAGGGTGAATTTGGAGCCAGAATCTATATTATAAATATGATTTTTCTGACAGACAAAATTTTGAAAAAAAAAAAAAAGACACCAGGATCACGTAGAGTGGGTTAATACAAACATTTTGAGCCCAAAATGACGAGGCTCACAGCAGCAGATACAGAGAGAGGGAGGACAGTATTCCAGTGTAAGACAAAGGGAACCAAAGTGAGAAGAAGCCGGCAGAGCCACAAACTTCCTAATGGAATGCGGCAGCTAGAATGTTAGCCATGTCCATTTATATAAAGAGTCTATGGTTAGACTGGTTAAAACATAGGTAACATCATAGTAAAGATTTTACTAATGATAAAGCTTTTCTAGCTTTGTAATTATGATGAAGTTTAAAGATGTAGGTCAAACCTGGAAATGGCATAATCTCTGAGATAAACATTTGTCAAGTTGGAAAAAGACTCAATCATAAAAAGTAATAAAATCTACAAAAGGCTCAAATCAAAAATACAGATGCAATTAGGTTAGGTTAGGTTTTTTTCTGCTTTTGTTGACAGTAGCACCATGTATATGTTAGCAACATTAGCATAACAGCAGGTGAACAGGAGGAAGAACTACTACCAAAAGAGTCAAAACATGTCCAAGTTTAAACTGTCAGAAAAAGCCTTTCTTGGGCGTATAACAGAAACATATATGAATGTGACAAATGCCGTTGAGGCGTAGATGGGTCTGACCGTGTAGCTGGAGTCCAGTTCTCTTGGAGCGACTGTGGATGCGATAGGCCTCGTCCCACTCCATCTGAGAGGAGACGGTGCACGGGTCTCCTGCAGCACACACACCAACACCATCAGCTCACGGCAAACACGCACCACTGTTCACACCCCGAGCACCAAGAACTATGTAGCCTTTATGTATCCACCAAAAACACGCAGCGTGACCAAGGCCAGCTCTCGATCTGGAGATGGGCCCCTGAGCGCTGTGCTGTACTGCTCACTCATCCTGAAGCTCAAGTCACGCTCCAGAAGAGCATGTCTATAGACATGTCACAATATCACATTTTTCAGTTATGATGATGGTGAGGAAAAATATTTTTTATGATTATTCATTTATTTATTGACTTTATTTATTCTATATGGGGTATTTTTCATGATAAAACATGCGCGTTTTCAAGTCACTCTGAGTGAAATAATGAGTATTTAATTATTCAGAGATAATAATAATTATATTCATATTTCTGTTGCTGTTTGCTGTTGCCATTTGCTGTTTGAACAACAGCAACAGCAGCAGACTATTTACCAGTCTGTTCATTTTCATTGTTCATTATATTTGGTCTGATCTGTCCCCGGACCCACCTTCATCGTCGATCCATTTGAGCGTTAGGGGGCGCTGTGGGGCCAGGCTGCACATACTGCGCACCTCTGCACACAGCTGAGCGAAAGAGAGGGAGGAGTCCAGCTCAGTGATCAGCATGTCTCTGCCAAACACATACAAGAGTCAGATACACATGGAACACAAGAGGACATGTAATACTACTACAAATACTACTACTCGGTCACACTGTGTGGTCCTGTACCACAACTGTCAGATGCACACAGCACAAGAGAACAATTAAATGTGCTGTACCTGATTTACCAGGTCCAAAACATGAAAAACAGAACTAGTTTGTTTTAAACTAATTGCAGTGGATCAAAGTTCTTCCTCACTTCTGCATTCTGAACATACTCATTACTCACCATGATGAGTTTATAAGTGCTTTTCACAGCTCTCAGAGACCAGAGACAAGACCAGAATTTCACGGTAAAGCTAATAACAGTTCCTTTTTCTCAGAAACTCACAATTGGATGCAGATATTACACAGAAGACTTACTCTGACCTCAGGAGTGGTTTATTAAATATTTCTGTATTGGACCAAGACTAAATTTGCTCCAATACACAGAATGACATTTTCAACATTAAAGTACTTAATACTTTCTTTTCTATTCCCATGTGGCCTTATATCTGTGTAATCCCTCAGTGGTTGCATAGTAGGTATGCACCCACCCAGCTTATTCAGTTCCGATACCAATATCGATACTTTGGCTTTAAGTATCTGGCGATAACCAATATTACCCGATACCATTGAAGAGTCAGAAAATTACTCTTAGTTCCTCAAAACACTGCTTACTTCTTACACTGTAGAGCCAAATGAGTTATGTGACTGTTATTTATCACATCACTGCTGAAGAAGTTCATAGAAATAAAAGTTCTGTAAATTGTCTTATTACATCCAATTAAAGGCGCAGCCAGGATATTGACTTGACTGATATTATGGAACTGATACCCGATCCAGCAAAACTTTCAGTATCAGTGTCGATATTCAATACCACTCTTGGTATCGGTGCATGCCCGTTCCATGTTGGTCCATGTGTGTATACTATGTCTATGTGCTCTTCTGCTTGTTCTGACACAGATCAAGATCATTCTAAAAACATTCAGGAAAGGTTTATTTCTGTTATTACTACAGATTTATAGTTCAGTTTTTGTTAGAAACAAGAGTCATTTGCACTATAATTCACGTGTACCTTTTCTTTACACCGGTGGGGAATTTTTCCTTACTTTTTAGTATTAGACCTACCAGAATTTCCGTGACCGCACCAGAATATAAGCTGCATCAACTACATTTTTAAAGAAAAAAAAATTAAGTGTACATATATAGGCCACACTTGTCTATAAGCCATATTGAGCTTTGGACATGGACAGAATAATAAAGAGTTACTCAAGTGTGTGAACGAAACTAAACACAATTCCAGGAATATTTTGGAGGAGGTAACAACATTACAGTATAACATGGCTTAAAACTCACATTTTAGGTACTAAGGAATGGGACTTTTTTAGTTTGCTCAAATTTTAGTGTTTATTAGTATCTGATCTCTTGCTTCGAGCAGTGAAAAGTATCGAAGTGTGGCCATGTGACCCATTTGTGGAATTTATTAAAAAAGGAAGATGATTTTGTTTTAAAGAATCTGAACTCCTTGAGGACAGACGTGGGAGCATTTGTAGCAGTTTGTGCCATATACATATGTCCTAAATGTGAGCGTGTATAAGCAGCAGGCGTGTGGTTAATGAGTGACCGGCGCACCAGGGCGGGTCTGACCCTTGCTCTGTTTGCCAAGCTCGACTCAGGGTTTGCCCCAAGAGCACTACAAGATCTGCTGCTCTGCTTCACTGCACCTGTCACCGGTCAGACCACTTCACCTGTCAGCCCACCTCCACAGCTCCTCCCTGTGAACAATTTGTATTTGAGCAAAATGAGGCTTCCCCCTGCACAGATATATTTTATTCGCAGCTCTTGAGGTCAAAATAAGATTACTGTGTACTGTAGACATCTATTTCTTAGGACTGAAGTTGACTAAAAGTAAAGTGCATATTAGCATGCAGCTGTTGA